GAAAAAATCCTGTGATTAGCACAGAAACAAAGCAGAGGGAAGAAACAGAAGCAATCAGAGCATAGAGCTTAATTTCTAAAAAAAAAAAAAAAAAAAAAACCCTGTGCAGGAATGGAAGCAAACACCAAGTCTGTACCGAGAGCTGCCTAAGGGAATAAAGATGAAAAAAAAACGAGGACAAAGCTTCTGGTGCTGTCTTACTGGGAAAGAAAAAAGAGAAGTGATACCACCTCCAGGAATAATGCCTGAAGCACTGGCACACTCAGGCATGTCTGATGAATACTAAAGCCCAGAAAGACTGAAGACTGTAAAGAAATAAAAACCACAAGGAGGAGGAGAAATAGATCCATTACAGAATAACACCCAAGCAGGGTGAGGGAATCCAGAAGGCAAAGCAGAGACAGACCTAAAGAGGCGAACTCTGCACCAAATGACACGGCAAAGAAATCAGAGGCAATAATTCCGTGCTTTTGGAACATTCCAACGAGCTCGTGCAGCTGAGTTTGCCCTAACTCAGGCAGCAGCATGACCTGAACACCTCCAGCCCACGAGCAACACCTGCAGTGGGACTGCAGTGGCTGCAAACTCTGCTCTCAGCCTGCAGCAGCCAGCATGTGACACCAGAGCCTGCGTGTGCAGCTCTGATTTCCACCGGGAGCTGAACCCTCCTGTCGGCTGCAGAACTGCACCAAATCCCTGAGAAACAGCAGCCACATAACAGAAATTCTGCTGTTTTTTCCCCCCCTCCAATTTCCTTTCTGCTTATGTAGCAAACCCTACACAGTGACCTTAAAAGTCCAGAATTCCAGAGCATGAAAAAAATTAAGGCCACCTGTGATAAAAATTTCAGGAGGTTTTAAGCAAATAGGATGATTTTAAGTTTTATTCCCAAAAAAAAGATGTTCATTACTTCTCACGTCAGGACTAATTCTTGGTAAGCTGAAGTTGCCTTTTGGCCATATTTGGCACAACTTTTTGTATGGTTCAAACGTCAGGACTTGTGTCTGGTTCAAAGACGCATCAACAGGTTACAGCTGCTGGCATTATTTCTGTGGGAAAATTGACCGAAATTTTGTTGACCAAAATGCACGTTACCAAAGGGCTAATATTGGTAACAGATGCAGAGAACAAGCAAGCTTAACTGGAAGAAGTTCAGTCAAAGGCTCAGACCTTCTGTCACATTTTCTGACCATCTCCACATGGGAGCTGAAGGGCAATGAGGTGAGATCCAAACCCAAGCCTGTGAAATCAGCTCACCAGTTTATGAACCCTCGTGAGCACACCCTTGGAAAGATATCAGAATTACTGACTCATCTTGAGCACAGCTGAGAATGAGACCTAAGTGGAAACGTTTGAAAGGGGAAGGAAAAAGCTGAGGTTTGACTCTGGCTTTAAATTAATTTAGTTTTCTGTTGCAAGGAGATAAACAGTGCAGCTTTTAGCAGGCACCAAGAGACACCGATGCCCATGGCACTTCTCAGTGGGTTCATAAAAGGCTCACACAGGAGATGCGTTCAGGCACAATGGGAGCTGGTGGTTATAGCATTTGAAAGGGAGTGGGTTCATTAGCTTTAGGCAGAAAAAGGCGATCTAATTACAGGTGGTTATTTTTATCAAGGAAACCGGCGATGCTTTCAAACAGCAAACACGGTGCTATTGAAAATCCAACATCAATACATGGAAATATGCTCCTGTCTGAGAAAGTCATTACGGCTGAGAAGTACACAGAGCAGGAAACAGTTTCCATAGTTCGGGGCAGATTCTGAATCTTCACTAATGGAAGGCATCAGGCGATTGAACAAAGCGGTGACAGGTTGAGTCAGTGGAAATAAAAGAATCACTCCAAGTGGCTCAATAGATTGAAATAGAAAACCTGATGATTCGTCAGCTCCGAGGGACAGGCGCACTGAAGGCCAGGCTATAGCAATGCTCCCTGACTAAAACCTACTTTTAGACCCCTTGCCAAAGGCGGTCCCTGTCTGTCCCCTTCGCTCCGAGGTAGCTCTGCCCTGCGGCCACCAAGGCCTGAGGGCACCCTCAGGTGACCTCGAGAGAGCCCGGGCGTTTCAGAGAACACAGCGCAGACCGAGGCACGGAGCTGGGCACGGGGCAGGACAGAGGACCGGGCACAGGATGGAAACCATGAGGGGACACAGCCCCGAGCCGGGCCCGGCCGCAGGACCGGGCACAGGATGGAAACCATGAGGGGACACAGCCCCGAGCCGGGCCCGGCCACAGGACCGAGCACAGGATGGAACACATGACGGGACACAGCCCCGAGCCGGGCCCGGCCGCAGGACCGGGCACAGGATGGAAACCATGACGGGACACAGCCCCGAGCCGGGCCCGGTCGCGCTCCCCGCCCGCGGAACTTGCGCAGGGCCCGCCTCCCCCTTTCCGGCCGTGAGCGCAGGGGGCGGGCTGAGATGGCGGCCGCCCTGCCCGGGCTGTGCCGGGCCCGGCTCATCGCCGCGCTGCTCCTCAGCTGCTGCGGGGCAGCGCTGGCCGGCGGCGTCCAGGTATGGAGCTACTGAGAGCCGCGGGCACACGGGGCGGGCTCCCTGCTGATGCTGATGCTGCTGCCGCTGCCTGTCCCGTCTCCTGCCCGCTGCCCCTGCCAGCACCGCGCGGGGCTGTTCCGAGGTGCTCGGGCTGCGCTGGGAGCGCTCTGCCAATTCCCCGAGCGGCGGAGCGGGCGATGCGATGCGATGCGCTGCCTTCCCCCGGCCGGAGGCGGGCGGGCCCTACCCCGGCCACGCCCGGCGGGCGGGACGAGCGGGGCTCGGTGTGCGGGGAGGGGCGGTGCAGCAGTGCTCGGGTACAGCACTGAGGGGGTACAGCAGTGCCCGGCTCTGTGTGCCGGGTACGGCAGGGCTCGGTGTGCAGGCAGAGGGAGTACAGCAGGGCCCGGGTACAGCAGGGCTCGGTGTTCAGGCAGAGGGGGTACGGCACTGCCCGGGTCCGGCACTGCCCGGGTCCAGCGCTGTCCGGGCGCTGCGGGGCTGGGCTCGGCTCGGCTCGGCAGGCGCTGTCTGTCTTGTCTGACTTGTTCAAACTGCTCAAAGTTAACACTTCCCCCCCCCCCTCCCCCCCGACTTTGAATCCACCCGCGCGTTTCTAAGACTCGTGTTCTGTTTAACCCCGCGAATGTAACTCGTGGCCGGCGTTTCCCGGACTCTGCCGGCCCGGTTTGCCCCCACGCCCGGCCGGTGCCGGCGGGGCTGTCAGTCAGGTGGGAGTCATCCCATCCCTCAGTGATGCGCTGTGCCCACGCTGCACCTGGAGTGTTGTTTGCCTTTGGATTCTGCTTTATTAGCGAGTTGTTTACTTGAAATTAATTACTGATAAGACCAAAAACCCCTCCCCTAAACGGTAGATGTATTTTTAGAGTCTTTGGGTGACTAATGGAACTGCGGGTTGTTTGCTGCTTGAAGTACAACGTGCTTTACGTATATTTTAACAAACACTCTTTTTTGTTGCTGTGTGTTTTGTGTAAGACCATCCCAGTAACCCCTCAGAGTTAACAGAGTCTGATTTGAGAATCAGCAGGTCTGGGTTCTTGCCTTGTGACAGAACTCATTCCCTTACCCCGGGAAAGTCTTATCATGTCTTATCCCCTTTTCATGTCCCGTTTTATCTTAAGGAAAAAAGGGCCTCTCAGCTGCAGAACACAGTGGGAACTGTGGACAGTACAGTTTATACAGAAGGTTGCTGTCATAGCTCCAGATTTTGGAAGATAAATGTGACCACCCTGGGTTTAAAATGGGTTTAAATTGCAGATTCACTTACCTGCTTTTGAAAACAGAAATGAATCCGAGCCCCTTTTCTCATTAGGGATGAAAGTATAGGTCAGTAAATCATAATATTTTGTTCTTGGAGTCTCCTTTAGAATAGAGATGTGTGGGCTTTTCGTTTTAACTAAGCTGCAAGTGACTAATAGTTCTTTGTTAAGTAGCAAGTTTCAGGATTTGGAAGCAACTAATTGACGTCAAATTTACAAAACAGCATAAAAACCCCCTCTTGTAGCTTTTCTAAGGTTTATTCAGTGTTAATGTGTGGTAAGCATCTGCATTCAGCACTTTTGTGGAAAAAAAACCAAAAAAATGACTGGTCATTTCTCGTTGCTGAAAAAAAAATGTAACATATTCTCCATCTTTCAGGATCAAGCAGAACAGTTCTTCAGAAGTGGACATACAAATAACTGGGCGGTTTTGGTAAGCATGGTCTAAGTTGTTTTCTTCCAGTGAAGTTGACAATTTTTTATCAGAGACTAAAATTGCAACAGTCATTGAAGAGTTCTGCTCACTCGAAAGGAATGGAAAGACAGAGACTTGGAAATGAATGAATTTGAAAATGTGTCTGCAGATCTATTGCACTGTAATGAAATTATCTTTCCAGTAAGACTGGATTTCAGGCACTCAGTGTGTCCAGCTACATGGCACGAGTCGTCAAACGAAAGTTCTGACAGCGTTAAAGCAGTTAAATTAACAGAGTGCACATGGGAGAAAAGTTTAATTCTGACACCAGGGAAATGTGGTCTCTTTTACCAGAAAGGTACAATTTATTTCTCATTTTTGTTCTTGCTCAATCTGTTAACTTGTGGTAACAGGCTCAGAGTGAAATCAGTTTAGGCAACATAATGTTTAGATCAGCTGTTCTTATCCTAATTCTTTTTTTTTTTTTCCTTTGCCATGTATCTTTTATTAGCTTTGAATCATGCTGCACAATTGGTTCTTAATCACAATTCAGGTCTTAATGACTAATTTGTTTCAGAACACTCTTGTAATTACTCAGTAGCAGCTGTTTGTTTTCCAGATACTAAAATCGAGCAATATAAAAGGAAAGTTAACAGCAACTAATTGAATTAGAAGGAGTAACTTCTATATTCTACAATGTACTTGAAACTATTAAAACATCAAATTTTACTTTAAGACTGTTGACAAATAGGTGCTTTTATTAGCACCCATAAAACCACACAAGGTGAAAAAATAAGCCCATTTTCTGACCAGAATAGATTTTTTGCTGGTTATATTTTTTTTTCAGTGGTTCATCATTTAGCTTTATAACAATTCCCACTAATTTTTGAAGCAGTAAAATAGAGATTCACTGCTATCAGGCCGTTCCAACCTGGGATGCTGCTGCAATTCCCACCTCACCTGTAGTTTAAATTTAAATGCTTCAGTCTGAATAGCTTTTTTTAAAGCTTAGACACATTTTCCACGGTGTTGTAAGGGAGGTAATGGGGGGAAGGTGCAGATGATAGTGCTTTGAAATGTCTCATCTAAATTGGACACAGTTTCCAGAGCTTTAAATTTTTGCTGAAAGGCAAATGTTCTCCCAGCCTGATTCCTGGGGGCCTTTTTGGAATTCCTGATTGGCAGGATGATCAGGACACAAGGGGATCCTTTCAGGCTGAGTTTTTATAGCTACTCAAGATACTGCTCAGTTCTTTTTATGGAAAAAAAAAATAGAGGAAAAGATGCTGCATAAAGTGTAACTTAAAGCTCCACATTTCAAACTGCAAAATTAAGAAACTGTCCGAATGTTTGTCCCTGCACCTCTGTTTTTTATGGTTTTAAAGTCACCTCTTCTTTTAGAAGTTTTTTTAGAAATCTCTGAATCAGAACAATGTCTGATTTAGGGACTTTGTAAATACAGGAATGAGTGAGCCCTTTGCCTGCTGGAACTGTAGAACCTGAACTCCCTCGGGGCTTTTGAGAATTTGTGCTCAGATTTTGGATTAGAACTCACTTAGCTCTTACTTTATTACATCTTCCTCCTTAAATGCAAATGTCCTCAGTGTATTTTCCCTGGTGGGTGCCTTCTGCATGAATTCACTTACGCCTTTGTGCAAGAACGCTCTCAGAATGGGTTTGCTATTGAGATGAGACCTCTGCCTTGGATTTTTAATTCCATTTGCTGAGGAGAAAGCAAATGAAAAAAAGTCAGCTTATCCACTGATTACTGCTGAATTATTCCCTAAAGTGCCACTTTCTATACTTAGTTAGGCTTTATGACAGTTTTTTCATGAGTCAGTATGCTAATAACTTCTTTTTTTAACTTTTATTGTCAGTATTTCTTTGCTTTGGTACACCCAAGATTGATACAGGTTGTGTCATGGGTTTCTTGGTGTTGCTATGTTCTCCCTGATCTGTTCCTATTTTTTACTATTCCTGCAATTGTGGTCCTCTGATGCAACCTGCCAGGCCAATCTGTATCTTTTACGTTATTTAAGATGCTTTTTTTCTTTCTTTTCAAGGTGTGTACGTCTCGATTCTGGTTTAATTATCGTCACGTGGCAAACACCCTTTCAGTGTACAGAAGTGTCAAGAGGCTGGGCATTCCTGATAGGTGAGGGAACCTTGGTGAATCCCAATTCCTGGCAAATGTGCTGTCTGCAGCAGTACAGAAATACATTTATCTTCCCAGTTTAACCAGGTAAAAGGAGAAGGGAAGGATGCAGTCACCTCAGTTGCCTTGGAAAGTGCAGCAGCGTTGTTCAAAATTGTTCAAATTGTGCTCCTCTCATGACGGCGGGGTGGTTAAAATGGCACCCTCCTTTCACAGCAGGAGCAGGAAGGAGAACAAACTGTTCTGAAGTGTCTCCCTTCTGGAAGTTCTAGGAGTGTTGGCACAGTTCCATCCAGCTGGTTTGGACTGCAGTTTACTCAGGACTGTGGAAGGGAGTTTCAGGCATTGACAGCCACCGAATAACAGGCAATATGTACCCGTGAGCTCCTGTGGAAATCCTGATTTTTAATGTCAATGTAAAGGACTGGTAGTTTCTCCAGCAGGTCTGCCTGAAGAAGCATGTCCTGCTTCATCATTGCAAAGTGTATGTTCTGCTGGATTAAATTTGGATGGCTTTTTCTTTCCCCCCCCACCAAGTCCAAAACTGAATTATCTGGAGCCCCCAATTAGCTTCCTCTCAACTCTGAATGCAGGGGCAGTACCATCCTGTTTTCTGTGTTTATTTAAGAAAAAATAAACCAGAGTGACCTTCTAGTTTTCGAAAGGGGAGGAGTTTAAAACCTAATTTTTAAAAGCCTTTGGGGGCTGTCAAAGGAAGGGAAAGCCCTGCTGAAGCGCTGTGGGAGAACACCTATTTTTTACTTTTTTCAGCAATTTTTACAATGGATTTGAACATCTTCCTTAGACAAACTTGCTTTATTTGTTTTGCTTTCTTTGCTGCGAGACTTTGTTCAAAATATTGACAAGACCAAACAAACAAACAAACAAACCCCTCACAAAACAAAATTCCCAAAGAAATCTCATAATCACATCTTAAAAATAAACATCCTGATTCTTGGGGTTGGTTGTTTTTAGAGAGGTTTGTGCCATAGCCTTATTTTGAGAGGAACTGTGTTAATTTGGTGATTAAAATACGTTGGTCCTCCAACAACAAAACTTACTTGGAAGATCATTGTGTTCTTCAGGAAAATTCCATTAGCACAGATAATCGTGGAGTATCAGATGCAGTATAATGGTTTCAGAAATGTTCAGGAGCTCCTCAATTTAATTAAAAATTATCACAGTGTTTTTAATTGATCCGTCTGAGGAGATGCACACACACTGTTTGTTATTTCTTCCGTGGTGCTGCATGAAATGATTTAGTGCCTTATAAAAATCTCCTTTTTTAATGTTATGAGCTATTTCTGTAACCATCAAACAGCGTTGTTGTAATTCCTGTTGGGCTGCTGTGTGAAAGCAGAGGGGCTGAAATGTTTTTGGTCTTGTTTTTCCTCAGCCACATTGTCCTGATGCTGGCAGATGACATGGCCTGCAATCCCCGAAATCCCAAACCTGCTACCGTGTTCAGCCATAAAAACATGGAGCTGAATGTCTATGGAGATGATGTGGAGGTGGATTACAGGAGCTATGAGGTAACTGTGCTTTAATTAAAACACTGGGTCTTTGTTTTTTTTTGGTGTTGGTTTAAAGATTTATGCAGCATATGTGAAATTTGGGGAAGAGCTTTTCGTATCGCTGATTTTGGGCTGGGCTTTTATTGTCAACTGATAGGTTGAAAATACCCATCCCTCCCCTCATTGATCTTTGGGTTTGTATTTGAAGTTTGTTTTATTTGGAGTCTGTAATGCTAGAAACATGTTTAGCCTATTGGCTGTTTTAAATCCACAGTTGAAAGGATGTGTGGAGCTCCTGGTGTGTGTTAGGAATAGAATCCTATTACTGACATTTCTCTTCTTTAGGAGACATGCCTAAATTCCTAATCTTTAGCATATACTTTTAAAATAAAACAAAAGCTAGAACCTAATCGTTACCAGAAAGTAATTATTATATAAAAACCTTCATTCTGTCACCTTCCTTTTTGTGGGGTATTCCTTCAAACAGACAGTGTCTTTACCAGTTGATCTTAAATTAGACATTAATTTCTTGGTTTAACTGTGCTGTGTAATCATTGCTAAAACTTTACAGAAGCATATTTCAGCATATAGTAGAATTTTTTTTTTCCTCTGAAACTTTATAGAAAGGAGTGAAGGCACAGCACTGAAATGCAGGTACACTCATGAAACAGAGAAACCTGTTTTGTTTCTGATTGTGGATTTGTTGCTGGCATTTGAGCTGTGTGTGTGTGCACCACATGAAGTGGTGTTTTGCAGGATTTCTTACATCCCCATCTGGGTGGGGTGTGCTGATCACTCAGACTTGTGTAACAGAATTGTTTTGGTTTTTTTTTATTTGTGAGTCGCAGAGGGAATTCAAACTTTTGTTTTTCCATGGTAACCCACCCTAATGTGGGGAGCATTTTGTGAGTAGTCTGATGAGCCACTCTGGCAGAGTGAACCTATGTGCTGACAGGTTTTCAGATCAGTGAGAATGTGCTTAGAAATGATAATGGTGGTGGACTTATTGACTGTAATAAAGCAGCAGGCTGATGGTAATGGAATAAAGTAAAAAGTACCACCTGATTGTGAACCTGCAGTAAAACTTTAAACAGATTTATGCAGTTTATACCGTGCAATATTATGTCTGTTTAGATATGCTGTTTATTTTAGTGTTCTGCTGCTTAATTTTCTTGTCTTCAGAAAGTGACTTTGGGCTCCTCTCTGTAGGTCACTGTGGAAAATTTCCTGCGTGTGTTAACGGGGAGGATCCCACCGAGCACCCCACGGTCTAAACGGCTTCTCTCTGATGACAGAAGCAACATTCTGATATATATGACAGGTAATCACAGGCTTCTGGATGCAGTCTATTGGTGTTTGTTGTTCAGGTGGGTGGGTTTGTTGAAAGCATCACTGGTCCAAATGAGTGAAAGGATCAACAAAGAGGTGGGGTTTTTGTTTTTGTTTTGTTTTTGTTTTGTTTGTTTTTGTTTGTTGGTTGGTTTTAGCATGTCATACAATTAAGAGAAAATATCTGTAAGGCAGTACTTAGTCAGTATAGTTTCCATTTGAAATGGTGTATGAGTAGTGCTCTTACTGTATCAGTTCCTTCTGCTGGACTGTCTGTGGAGAAAGAGAACTGTGTTTGCCTTATTTTAGAAAAATGCCCTCCCCAGGCTTATCTCTTCCTGTAACCTACACACTTGCCTAACTTCTGATTTTTCTGTCAGGCCATGGGGGAAACGGTTTCCTCAAATTTCAGGATTCTGAGGAAATCACCAATGTAGAACTGGCTGATGCCTTCGAACAAATGTGGCAGAAAAGGAGGTAAGAAATGAGCATTATTTAGGCATTAAATACTGTATTTCCTGTTCATACCCAAAGTCTCACTGGTAGGCCTTGCTTACCTGCAGCAGTGATACCATCTGTTGTCCATAAAATTGCACCTAAGTTTGCATTCAGAAAGAAGAGCTTTGGGTTTGGCTTTCGGCTTCCTGCAGTTAGAGCTGCTCAGATGTGTTGCTTTGACTAAACTCACATCTTAAAACCAGCCAGTGTGAATTCTCCCATCCCTGGGGTTCCTAGCAGCTGTCCTGGCAACTAAAGAGCAAAGCAGGGATATGTTTAAGTAGAAATGGCTGAGGAGGCTGTTTTTGTTTCTTTCAGGTACAACGAGCTGTTGTTTATTATTGATACTTGCCAAGGAGCATCCATGTATGAACGGTTTTATTCACCCAACATAATGGCCTTGGCTAGCAGCCAAGTAGGAGAAGATTCTTTGTCAGTAAGTAGATTTATGGGATCCTGAAGACAGCTTTCAGAAAGCTTGTGTTAAAAGCACGGTTCCTCCTGACCTTTATCTAAGGATTTCCCCTCCAATTGCTGAACTGGAAGGTATTTAGTTACAAAGCGGCATTTTGACACTTGTAAGTGTGCTTTGCCTGCCAGTTTTTGTGTGCTGTCCCAAAGAACCAGGCTGATGAGGGATTCCTGGCCAGCTTAAGCGCTGCCTTGGGTAAGAAGAAATCTTAGGGTAAGACTGCTGAGAGATGTGTGTGAGGAATATTCAATCTAGCCTTCATGGAAACCAAGACAAACCACTGCCTTTCAGCTGCTGTAATTATTTCCCAGCTGAATTCCAGAAGGAGCAATAGGAGAGATCTCAGGCAGACCAAAAGCAGCAGGTCAGGATCACCTGGACCCCTGCACTGCTCTAGGACACGCTGGCTCTCCCAGCCCCGTTTTCAAAGTCCTGAGCAGCTCAGGGCAGCCCTCAAATCTGTGCTGGCCCGTTAAGAGGAAGAGTTCCCTGCTTTCTGGAAAACACAGATATTACCAGAATTATTATTCGGTATTATTCAGCTTTATCGGCAACATGTTGCTTCACAGGTAGTAATTTTCTTTGCATAATTTGCCTAAGAACACAAAAATTATTCTTTGCTTTTGTTACATTCTGTTCCCTCCTGAATGCTGAGTTCTCTTGTGTTGTTTTGAAGCATCAGCCTGACCTTGGGATTGGTGTTCATCTCATGGACAGATACACCTTCTACGTGCTGGAGTTCTTGGAAGAAATTCATCCTGCCAGTCAGACAAATATGAACGACCTGGTAAGTAGAGTACTCAACATTCATGGATATGCTAATGACTTTAACAGCTTCAAAACTAATCTGTGTTGTCTGTGGGGTTCTCCAAATGCTTTCTGTGCTCCTGCTGTTTCTCTGGGAAGCAGCTTTGGGGGAAGGGTGGTTTTCTTGCCATTGTTAAGGGTGGTTGTGTAACACTTCAAGGGTTGAAAGTGGTTTGCTGGCTACAGAAAAAATAAACTGGAACTAGCCAGATTTTGTGTGGGTTTTTTTCGTTGAAAAATTAATAAAGTATTCATTAAATATTAATTTCAATGGAATGAAGTGTTTGTGTGTGAAAAATAGGAGGTTTCTAAAACCAGCATAATGGATAGCAGACATTTTGCAGTTGTGGAAAGGCAGGAGTTGGTGTTGTTTTGCAAAAGTGATTTAGCAGCTAAAATTCTAAACGTGTGATCACAAATGCCTGCAGATGCTAATTTATCTGTATATCTGCTTAGATTCCAGATCAAGGTATGTCCAAATCCATCGCTGTTTGGATTTATAATTTATATCTTAGGTAAATGTTATTGTAGATTTCGGGTGTGAGGCAGAAGGAAAACAAGAAGCCAACCAGATAACCTCTGACAAAATGTATGGAAATGCCTCTGTAGCAGTTAGGTGAGATGACATAAAAAGGAACCTTATTTTATTGACCCTGTTAACCCTTTATACCAGTTCCAGCACTAGTTTCTTGTAGTCATGCATTATACTTTGGTACCTTGTAGCTGTAAATCCTGATGTGCTGCCTCAGGGATCCAAGAGCCACCACTCACACAACTCACTGGCTTTGATTCACTTCTGCAAGTGGAGCAGCTGCTCAGAAGTTTGATGCCACTCTCTATCTGCAGAGCACAGTGTTAGCCTGGCTGCTACACGTGTGGTGGAATTCTCTCTGAGCAACCCACAATCGACAGATCTTGTGTTGATACAGGATTGATTCAGCAGCTGAGACTCAAGGTTCTTTTGCTTCCACGGGAATGAAATTCTGTCCTGTGATTTAATACTTTCTGACTGTGGGATACAGATAACTTGGCAATAAGTCTTGGGAAAGGAGAGAATGCAAATTCTTTATTGATTCAGTATCTTTTTCTAGCCCGTTCATTCAAATAGCACTGTTAATTTGTGTTAATTAAAAAAGGTCATAAAAGGGAACAGCGCTTCCTACAGTGTAAGACACCATCTGGGAAGGGAGAGAGCTGCTCTAGCCAGCAGAATGTTAATCTGGTTGTTGAAGAGTGCAGGAATTTCTTAGCTGGCCAAGTAGGTTACCTTTGGAGAAGATACCTAATGGTGTGTTTGTTTTTGCTTCTGTGCCAAATAGGAAGAGTAAATTCCTCACATCAGGCAAGTCATCTTATCGTACACCAATCTGCTGATTGTTGTTCTGGGAACAGAGGGGATGGACCCAAGCATGTCATGATTTGTGATGGTTTGTTCAAGGCCAGGTTGGAGGGGGCTCTGAGCAGCCCAGTGTCCAGTGGGAGGTGACCCCACTCGTGGCAGGGGAGTGGAACCAGATGATCTTGAAGGTCCTTTCCAGCCCAGGCCATGCTGGGATCGTGTCCTGAGCCACAACCTGCAAACCTGACCACTTGATTTTGAGTTGATGCTTTTCAGGGCTTCGTCCAAGAGTTTCAAAATGGCATATAGTTAGTCCAGGCTAAGGATATAAACCTGGTTTTTTGGCAACACTTGTAGGGGATACTTTGGCACTGGAATGCACTGTTAGTGTTAGCTAGTTTAAGAATAAAGACCTACTGCTTATCCAAGTCTGATTTTTATTTATATTTTTAAAAAAAATCTAAATGAATGCTTTCCAAGCTCAGGATAACTTAAGTTTCTGGCAAACTAAATTAACTGATGTTTATTTATCTGATCTTCTTCTATGTCAATGTGTGCTCATTTAGAAGTACTGTGTATTTCTTACACTGCTTCTATCCCATCACCTCTTTATTTTTCTCAAGCCACTCTTGAAAAACAGCTTCTCTTCACATCCACCTCAGGTTTGGATATTGCATTCCTGCAAAGAATGAGACATCTTTTTCCACAATCCACTCCACCTACTCCCCACCTGCTCCATCTGTGTTGCTAAGGGATAGCATAAAGCTGTGCAGATGACTGGCTTTAGGTTTGATCACAGTTCTCAGAAAGCGAAGACTGAATCGAAATGTCACCCATTTGAACTTTTAAAATAAGATTCAAATAAATTTCCACGCGAGATGTCGTTTGTCATAAACGAAAATCGTTGTTAAGACAAGTCAAGATAACTGAGTTCCCATGTTGAGGGAATTGTTCAGCTCTGTTTGAACAGAATCTTCCTTTAGAAAATTTTGGAAAAATTGATACAAGATCAAATGTGTTTCACTTAGCCAGCATTTGCCTTTTCTTCTTTGTCACAAGACCTCAGTTATTTGTGTCACTCCACTGTGGTGTGATTGCTTTGCAGTCCTTTTGTCACACTGGTGGGTTTTTAGTGTTGAAGTCTTCTCACTGCCACTGCACATTTTGGTGCAAGATTCACATCAGCGTGTTATGATGGTGAATTGTTGTGGGATGAGTTAGAAACAGTTGGGTGCAGGATTAGTTTCCCACTTTCAGTGCTGATGCAGTTGTTTTGGGACACGTGTGCTCTGAAGAACTTGGCAGAGAGACTTAATGGTATCGCTGCAGCAGGAATTTATGCTTCACGTAGTGGGATTAAAGCAAATACTTACCTTTTACAGTTTACTTCAGAGGCCTAGTTTTTATATTTGTGCCCTCAGCTGGAGCAGAGCTGGAGAAAATTGATAGCATTTTGGTGAGAATGGAACTTTAGGGGGTTTGTGTGTGCATTGACAGGGGGTTTTGTATGGGAAGCATGATGCTGATGAATCTAGTTCATTTTCACTTCACAGGGAGGATAATAGCCAAGCTGTAAAAGAGGAACTGTAACAGAGCAGGAGGGAGGAATGGGGAGATAGAATCTGCCCTCTGTGAGGAAAAGCCGAGTTTCCTCTCTGGGAAACCTTTTTAATGTAGGGCTTGTTGTCCAAAGAGAGTGAGCAACAAAAGCCTATAGGTTTGGTGTCAGGCTCAGCACAACATTTCTGCTGGGAAGTGTGACCTGAAGCTCAGGGGTTTTGTCGGTCATAACCTGGAATCACTGAAGTTGCATTTGCATGGAGCTGATTAGGACCTGTGGTTTTGTCATAGGAATGCAACCTTGTAAGAGCTGACCCACGGTGCAGTTTAGATTCTGTGACTGAGGGATCTGCTTGTGAAAATCGCTTTTAAGAGAATTTAAGATTAAGAAAGATGAGCACCCATGTGGAGAGCATCCTTCTTAGTCCTGTGTGATGAATCTATTGTGGTAAATACTCTTGTTGTGGCTGGGATGCAGAAGGGCTCCCATGCTCTGTTACCAGGTGGTCTGTGGGCTGCCTGTGAGGCAGTTCCATGGACAGCAGCATTTCCTCTGGAGCCTCTGCCTCGCAGGGTTATGAGGTTTGAGTCTCTCTGATGATTGAAACATGAACTCAGCGTTCCACATTCATCAGGGAGTCTAGAGAAAGCCTTGGGCTGCTTTTCATGTACTTGTAGCTTGGTATTGCCTTGAATATCTGCATAACAATTTTGTTACTGAATAGGCATGCTGTCCTGTCTAAATGCTGCAACACATCTGTTACTGTTATATCTTCTTGTTTTCTGCAAAGAGATCTTTATGTAGAACTGGGTCCAGTGGAAACAGTTTGTTAGTGCTGTGTGTGTGTCTTCCAGGTCTTGCAGTGTGTGCTGGCTGTGGGGCATCTGATATCTGATATACATATCTGATACATAGACAAAACACAGAGCTATATTTGTGCCTTTACCAGTTAAATGTTGGCTTTCACAGAAGCTTTTCTAAACTCAATTATTGTGAGGATAAAGGTTTTCTGAAATGCATAATCAAGGTGTTTATGCCTTTCAATGTTTTTTGTTCAACCCCTTTTTTTCCAAGCTGTGGAGCTTTTCCTGAAGTCATTGCAGGTTTATCTTCCTTTTTATAGCAATTCCATTTTGGAAGGTGCACGTAGAGACCCTTGATGAATGGGGGACAGGACGTGATTGTCCATCTCTGTTTCCAGTTTCAGGTGTGCCCGAAAAGCTTGTGTGTTTCCACGCCGGGCCATCGAACCGATCTCTTCCAGCGGGACCCCGGGAACGTTCTGATCACGGATTTCTTCGGCAGCGTGCGCAAGGTGGAGATCACGGCAGAGACGCTCGCTCTGGACCGGGACGTGGCTGCTTTTGAGAGCAGGTAAGTGGTCATTATTTAGGCTTGATTTGTCTGAAAACTTTGCCTAAAAGCGCCTGCCCCTTTGCTGGGGCTCCTAAACAAATGCTGCTCCAGACCGAGGTGTGGATGTCAACAACGGAACGACCAGTCTGGGATTTTCTTTCTTCCTTAACGTTTCTTCTTCAGTGCTCAGAAACATTCTGTTCCTGTAAATTCCTGCTGGTGATAGTCCACTCCCTGAGGTAAACTCCGTGTGTAAGGCATTGATTGCTTGTTTGGTAACAACCAGCTTTTTAATAAATGCTTCGTTTCTGCTCTGTGAGCTCTCTGGCTTTTTGACATTTTACTCCCCTGGGAATTTCTGCTGCTGAGATGCAGCGATCCCTTTGATTAAAATCGCTGCTGCAAGTTCATTGACAGAAGTTGTAACGGGGCTTCTGTTACTTTGTGCATGAATAAAGGAGTATAAACTTCTTTGTATTTTTGGGATTCTGTTGCCACCTATTGGGAACATGCAAAGGAAGATGTTCTTGTTCCTTAGAGTTTATACAGCATTGTACTTCCATTTCTGCTGCATCTTTTGTGTTTCATCATACTGCCCTGTAGGAGGGGGAAAACAAAGGACTGAAATAATGTGCTATATCAGGGGTGAAATACTCTTCAGCACATAAATTTATGTACATCATTCTCCACCTTGTGTACTGTTGCTCAAAGCTAGTGGATAGCAGTTTTATTTGTTTTAAAGACACCAGTAACTCTGATCCTCACAGTTGTAAATACCCTAACAAGGTTTAGTGAGTTCCTTATTTTATTTTTATCTGGAACACATGCATTAGTACATACCACACATCTTTCATTTTGTTACTCCTTAGCATAGAACACTGTCTAGTGACACTAAATTTGTTTTTTTTTTTTTCTCTGAAGAATAAAAAAATCTTTTGGCAAGAAACAGACAATTTTGCTAGTTAAAATCATGCTGAAAACTGACTATGTGGGTTTCTAATTTGTGGGTGATTAAAAGGAGAAATAGATTTTGGAAGACTTTCATTCTGAGGCAGGAAATTGGTTGGGATCTTTGAGTTAGTTTGGTGTTGAAAAGTTGTAATGCAGCTTTACAGATAATGATGGGGAGTGCTTAATGAATTCCTTTTACAGAATTCTGAGCTCGGTACATCTCGGTGTGGCAGCTCTATAGAGCTACAAAAAAATGGAAGAATTACAGCCTGAAGTGAATTTATTAATTGAAAGTGTTAATGCTTTTTAAAAAATGCATTTTTGGAGGGTCTGATCTACAAGAACTGACTACTCTGGTTTAGTTAAAGAATATTATAAACATACATCTATTTCTGAGGATGTTGAGAAGGCAGAACACAAATTATGTGATTTTTGAGTAGATGCTACTACTGATTGCCCCAAAATAATGTAAGAATGGCTCCTGAAAGAAAGAATGTGAGTGCATATTCTTAACCTACTCAACCAGCCTGTGCCTTTTGGGAGTGCAATGGCTGTTGTCACTCTGATGTAAAAAAACCTGGGGAAATCTGGGGCTGGCACAGCCTGTTTATTTTTATTCTTCTTGGTATCACTGGGAGAGAACTAAACCAATCTTACTGCAAATTAAATAATCCTTCAAAGTTAGTTATGACTTGTTCATGCCCAACGATGTTTTAAAAGCTTTCATGAGGAAGAAAAATCTCATTTTAGAGTAGAGTTGAACTTGGGCCCTTTAAGGTTTTCACAAAGTATTTACCAAGAAGTAGCTGAGAGATCAGAAATACAATATATTGCATTGGCTATTGAGTGTGCACATTTTATTTGTTTAGTATTTAGTGTAGTCTCCAGGCTTCATTCCTTTATGAATCATGTCCTCTTTGTTTTATTCTTCACACAACTTTAGCTTCATACCTTTTCTCTTTTCCTTTTACATGCTGGTGACAGTAGAATGCTACAGAATGTCTTGTGCTGAGCATGACCGGAGGATGAAACCCAGACCTCAGTTCTGACACAGTCTGAAGTAGTTTGTGCTGTGCTAGGTGTGATTTGTTTGTTTTAATGCTGCAGGTGTCATGTGTGCAGGTAAGGGCATTAAAAACCAACCAGACAAAGGAGATAAACCCCCTGATGACACAGATCTCGGGTGAGGAAGGTGCTGCCACGTGAGGTGTGAACGTGGATCGAGGTTGTACTGCTGGCACACTGCTCAGGTTCTCATCTCGCCCCCCGCTGTGACTTCGCCAAATCTTTTCAATACAAGTTTGTTCTTACAATTGCTTAGCAATTACTTGGCTGTACAGATCCACTCCCAAGCCCAGCGTGAGCCGTGGCTGTGCCACCAGATCAGAACTGGCAGCTCCGTGGTGAGCACACGCCGTGACGTTCAACGAGCGAGGCCTTTGTAGTTTCCTCTGGCTTGGGCTGAGACTCTCACAAAGAACAACTGCTAATTAACCAGGAGAAGAGGCTTTCTTTCTGTTCTAGGTGAATATTTGCTAGTGAAAGCTTCAAAAAAAAGTAAAGAGAAGGTTCCTCTGCTATTTCCTTTCTTTGCAGCGGTTTCAGTCTAAGCTGCGTTCACTTCAAAGGGCTTGTTCTGCAGCTGCCTCAGTCCTGACTCAGTCTGCAGCTGCCAATTTTAGCAGGAAATCTGACAGTCTAGGCGTTCTGAGGCTTCAGCTGATTATGTTTTGTCTGCATCTCCATGCAAGTGCAAAGAGTCCACTTTAAGGAGTAGAAGAAATCCTGCATCTTTGGAGAAGGAGCCTTGCAGAGTGTGTAATAAATTAGGAGTGTGTCCCTTAAACTTGGATTGTAACTCCACAGCCAGTTGGAACACTTTCTCTTTTTCAGTTCTTGTCGTGAGGAAAAAGATCTGTATCAGCAGAAAGTGCCGGTAAAAATTGGGATGAATATTTCCCTTGGGGGTAGTAAGAAGTGAATTAAAGACAGCGTCGTATAAAACCATCCTGGTTTCATTGCCTTTGAGAATTAGGCTTTGTATTTAATACTTCTCTTACGAGGAATTGTGATACTACTGGCAGCGATTGTTTTCCTAAAAATAAATAAATTGGCCACTGGTGTTAGGAAGGACGCTTGTGTAACAGGATAATGATGAGTAACTGGTTCATTTGCTGTATTTAGTAGCTAATGTTCTCTCCATCTATTTTTTTTTGTGTGTTTGTTAATGCCTCTTTTCCATCGCTATCCTGTCCTTTCTTCTTTTCCACCAGCCATTTTTCAGTTTGATGTCAGTAATAAGTAAAGCTGCCCTTGTGTGTTCCTGAAGCCTTGGGAGGAATCCCGTCTATGAACCAGTCGATAATTTGTTTGTTTGGCGAGTAGATGCTCTTTAGCTCAGTGGGCTTCCCTTAAAACCAGAGGGGCTGGGTGTGTCCTGAAATCCCCCATTCAGCCTGTACCTGGTGCCTCAGATTAGTAGTCCTTTTAAGGTTTATAAGGCGTTTTTAGGACTAATTTAGGACTAATTTCGAAAGCTCTCGTTACGTGGATCTGGCTCGTTCCCGGGAGGTGCCGGCAGGTGGCGCCAGCGCCCCGCGGGGAGCGCGGCGGGTGGGGCCGGGATGGGATGGGATTGGGATGGAAATGGGATTGGGATGGGATGGGGATGGGGATGGGATTGGGGATGGGGATGGGATGGGATTGGGGATAGGGATGGGATTGGGATGGGATGGGATTGGGATGGGGATGGAATGGGATGGGGAGGCTTTGAGTTCCTGCTGGACATCACCCTCATGGTTCAGCTTCACAGTAATGTAAAAAAAGGAAAAAGAACTTCAAAATTAGCAGGCCCCCACTGAGTTGCCAGTGAGGTGAAGAAGGTGTTAATTCCAGGTAGCACTGTTCTTCCAGAAACGTTGCAGATGGGTTTCATAATCTATTACATGAAGTAATAAATAACAAGTAGTTATTTATTGTTGAAGTAACCAATCAGTTACACACACACACTGTATTTTCCTCTGATGTTCTGTGTTAATGGTAAGTGTGGATTTTGTGGTCCATGTGTGTTTTGATGGCCTGCAGGTAATTAAAGATGGGTGAACTGATACTTGCTGTTAAATATTATTGCTATATTTCTTAAGTAATTTTTTTTAAAATATATTTTTGGTTTCATTGCTTACCTAAAGACAGTTCAGTGTGTACATATCTACATATACATACACTCCTATAGCTGTAAGAGTAAAAGATCCTTTCAAGGTGGTGCAACTACCATGAGTCTGAAGGGTATAGAAGGAATAATTGTTTAGAAGGGTACAATCTCACTGGTGTAACATCTGTGTAAAATAAATAAGGATGAATGGCAATATCAAAAGCAACCACAGGTATAAATCGTGTTGGGAAGGCTTTAGGTACACTGAAGTGCTATGCTTGGTAATTCTAGTCCCTATTTAGCAAGATCTTTCAAAAAGCAGCTTTGAACAATATGTTATTTATTCCTTTGAAAGTGTTTCTTTGACCGTGCTTTGTGCCAGGAAAAAAAAAAACCACTTCTGTTTCGAAACTGTAGCTCTTGAGTCCAGGTTTTCTTTGGTGCAATGATTTTTCGCCCCTTCCCCCAGATTTTTGTTTTGTGTGGTATTTTGCATGTTTTCTGTGAGAAACCTTCAACTGTTAGATTGTGCTTCTATCATTTCACATTTTCAGTACATGGCCACCTTGCTGAACCTATATGTAGCTATTCATACATAGAATTTTAATAGACTTTGACAGCAAAGAAATCTCTTGGTCTGTGGCAATATTTTTATTAAGTTCAGCTTTTAATCAAGTCCAGAAGCTCCACGCTCTTCATAAGTGACTTAGATGTGCCAGTTGAGTAGCAGTGGACAGGTAATGTCTAAAATGGTTGCATGGCAGATTTACTGGGAGGTCTTAAGTATATCCAGTAGGTTTTAAATCATCCAGATAGCTTGAAAATACCCATTAATCACAGAATATTCAATCAAGGCGGTTTTTCTCCTCCTCCCCCCTCCTTTTCTCACCTTTCCTATGTAACATTTAAATATTTC